AGAACAGTACTATCTGTCTCTGTCTTACCAGGAGTACAGGAGATGGTCCACCTGGGATATTCAAGCTTTGGAACAGTGGTTTGATCCAAATACCACAAATCGGTAGGGACATCTAAGCTACGGCAGAAGTGCTTCTGTGGTCGTCATAATAAGATCTATCCAAATAATCCTGCCAGTAAGGAAGGAACAATGACCAGGAAGGATTATATGTGTTGGTAACTGGCTTAATGAGAAACAGTAGCCTCAGTGGTAGGCCTAAATGTTTAATTGTACTAAATGCTGAATATTGAATAGTAATTGTTAAGAAATGCTTAATGCAGAGCTGGACTTTCATAGTTCTGTCAGTATTAGAATTCCTCCTCCCAACATTTAGCATCCTTAATGTTCATGGACTTGTCACACTTCTATAGATTCAATATTTTTCTTTTTAAAGAAGAAGCATAAAATATCAGCCGTTTCTAAAAAAAAGCTAAATAGTTTCAACCAATCTGATGGTTTAATAACCTAAATAATTCATTAAACCCAAGAAATATATGTGTTGCTGTGCTGCTTATATGGTTATTTATTCAATAATTGATGAGCAAAAAAGCTCTATGAATTAAAAAAATTGTTTATTTGGCCATATGGTTTTCGATTAAAATTGGATTATTTGGGATTTATTCATGTCAGGCCCTGTAGTTAACTTGATTTTTTTTTTTATCATATTCCACCATTGGTTTAGATTAAAAATAGAAGGAAAGTATATTTCCTATTACATGGTGGGAAGTGATATTCATACAGGCTAGGAGGGCCAAAGTGCAAATCTTTTAATAAAGAACAAGATGGCTGAGCCAATCAGAGAAAAGCAGTTTATTCTTTTTGGCTTTTTTTGTTTTTTTTACTTTCTCTTTAAGTTTCACTCTAATTATATACATCTGGCGCTGTTGCACATAGTTACAATTAATTCAATTAAAAACTTTTATGTTTATTAATCTGAAAAGAAATTAAATTACACTTTTAAATCAATTAAACCCCATTGAATTAATTAAATTTTTATTAATTAAAATATTAAATTACCAATGTATCCATATTTGTGTTTTCCCTTGGTGCTGCGGCCAACATCACAGATGGCTCTGATGTTCTTCTCCTGGAAGCCCGACTCGTTGTTCAGGACAGTGATGCAGTCTCTCTCGACCACAAAGGCGAGGGCTGGAACCACGCCACCCTCACAGGGATAGCTGTTGTCGTCGGCATTCTGGCAAAAGATTGCAGAAAAGTCAAAAGAAAATCGAGGGGATTTTGTCTCGTTTGTTGGAAGTCGATTTAGGGATTATGTTTTAAGGGTTTTCGAGTGTTTGAGGAGCCACCTGAATGAGTTCCAGGACAAAGTGTGTGTCTTTGCTGTAGAGCTCAGTGGACAGGCGATCCAAGCTGCGGCCCAGTCGCTCCTGGTGGACCTGCATCAACTTCTGGCCTTCTGCATTCAGCTCCACCCCGATGCCAAACTCACTTTTCCTGTAAGAACAGCAGGAATTATTAATAAGCTCTAATCAAAAACAAAACTGACGCCTAATTGCAATAAACACACAAACCTGATGTCTTCAATGATGCTTTTCTGAGGACAGAGGGATTCCTCTGCCTGACAGCTGACTAAGTCCTTTTCTTCCTCCTCAGACTTGTCGATCTGTTCTTCGCTCTGACCGCTTTCAGCTTCACTGCTCATGTTGGAGGTCTCTCCATTAGGAATTGAGACCAGCTCATACAGCTCCTCCTCATCCTCCTCCTCATCGATCTCTCCTGCTTGGTCTCCATTCACTGGAGGAAGATAGTTGGGGAACAATGAAGGAATAGGTTATTTTTAATTCAGAGGAACAATACAAAAACAACCCAGAAACTTGATTTAAGTAAAGAAAAAAAAGTTTTATCCACCCTGCTGATTGAGTGAAGACACAGAGCTGCTATCTGCGATGTCCTCCTCATTGAACTCGTCTTCACTCATATTCAAAGCGGACAAACTGCTGCTGGCAGAATCTAGGAGATTTGGCTAAAAGAAGAGAAATGAAAGGATAAAAAGATGATTAACACACCACATTTTGCTGCTGAACCATTAGCTCTCCAATCTCTGTTTACTGGACTCTCCGCATGATGGCCTGTTTAACACAGTGCTCTAGAAAATCCTTCTACCTTTAGATTTATTCTTTTTTTTCCACTCACTTAAATTTTTTGGACTTTTTTACACTAATTGTTATATTAGGCAAAGAAAAGTTGATAGAAAAAAAAAAATTATTATTGTTATCTAAGCTACAAACCCTTTCAAAAAAAAATATATATATATATACGGCAATGGAAAAGTTGTTAAATTTCCATAATGTTATATATTATAGCTTTTTGGACCCAATATTAAAATTATTTCAAGTAATTTTTTTTTTTTTTTTATGGAATTCAGTTCATAAAACCAGGGGATGCTCAATGGAGCAGTGGGCAGCTCTGCTGCCTTGCAGCGAGAAGGTTCTGGGTTCGATTCTCAGCCTGGGGACTTTCTGCATAGAGCTTGCATGTTCTTGTTGTTCTGTGGGTTCTTTCTGGGTACTCCGGTTTCCTCCCACAGTCCTAAAACATGACTGTTAGGTTAATTGGCTTCTCTAAATTGTCCTTAGGTGTGAGTGTGTGATTGTTTGCCCTGTTTGTCTCTGTGATGGACTGGCGACTTGTCCAGGTTCTACCATGCCTCTCGCCTGTAGACAGCTGGAGATAGTCACCAGCACCTCTCGTGACCCCGCTTGGGTTCATATAACCAACAAATATAATAAAATTGTTTTATAATGAATATAAACCAATGAAAAAGTTAGAATACTGTGAAGAATTTTGCAGGAAACTAATTTTCTACACTAACTGTCACATCCTAAACACCCAAAATGGTTAAAAAAAAAAACCAATAAAGGTTTCCACAGGTGTTCAAACTGTTTAAATTTGGTTTAATATGGGGAAGATCGCTTTCATCACTACTGAAGAAGACCACCATTGATACCCTTCATAGGATGGGTAAGCCACAAAAGTCCATAGGTAAGGAGGCTGGCTGTCATAGAGCGTTGTGTCCAAGCATTTCAAGCAAGAATTCTAGTGAAAGTCAAAATGTGGCTAGATGATGCATCAGCTAAAGAGAAGACTGTGGGCTTCAGCCAATTATCAAAAAGAGATGATTCAAAGATGTGGCAGAGATCTAGAAAGAGCAGAATGAGGCGGGAACCCCAACTATAAAAACCTCCTCACTCAGTAGGATCTGGTCCCTGCCCTTACCTTCAGATGCACCGAAACCTGGTTTGATGTTCATGCCACCAATTCAATTCAATTAAGATTATTTATATAGCTCCAATTCACAATACATGTCATCTCAAGGCACTTTACAGTTCACCAGATCATACAGTCAAATTGATTCAAAGTTTTCTATCTAATCACTGTGCTTGATTGGGCAGCCAACTTGCCCAAAATGAGGGGTCAAGGAAATTATGGTTTCCATATCTCCCAGGCAGTACCAAAGGCTTATTGAGGCAATGCCACGTTCCATAGAGGCAGTGTTTATATCATATAAAAGTACCATATTTTGATTGATTCCACCTTCCACTGAGGCTACTCTGAAAGTGAGGTTCCTGGTTTCTTCATAATTTGCTTTTTAGTATCCTTTAGTCTATTTCATGTGGTCAGACTAGTTATTTTCTTGTAATCTAGGGGTCATTATAAGCAACGCTGTGTAATCTTTGACCAAAGTATTGGCTTACTTTGATGTATATCAAACTATTTTTAAGGTCAATATGCAGCATTTGCCATGTATCAATGATCTGTGTGGGATAGTCTTTTCAAAAATGTATCTATGTATTAAAAAATGTCAGATTCCATCACTAAACAAGTCTTATGACCCAAAGTGCTGCTTTACGGCAGTCTCAGCTCCCTTCAAGCTTATTAACTGTTTAAAGCCAAGTGTATCATATTTGATACATGAGTTTTTGACTCTGACATTGAAACATCAGTGCAGTATTTTTGTTCTTGAAACCCTGACCTACACAATCAAACACATGCAGTGAACAGAAAACCTAAAATATTATACAGAAATGCCTGTATCAAAATTGATCCAAATAGATGATCTAATTTACGTAAGTACCAGGAAACTGCTTAATTTCGAAAAGTGCAGTGTTAACAGAGGGGGGATTCGGGGTACAATAAATCTAGGAGTTGTAGGTCAAACACCGCCTGGTGGCTAGAGAGTACAGTGTTGTTTGATATGATAAGTGGGTGTAGTGAAATACAGGCCATTAGCTGATTAGCTCTCCAAGTTAAAAAGAGTAAACATTTTTCTTGCACTGTCACCTTGGTGTGATCCCGATGGGCTGAAAAACCATTACTGTTCAGGTTCTGCTGCGGGGTCAACTTTCTGTGGTAGTCTTTGACCCAATCCGTGATTCCCAGCAGGATGCCCAGCTGGTGCAGGCAGTTCAGATGTTTCGGGTCAGACTGAGCCACTGTGATCAGGACCTCTTTGGACTTGGCTTGGCCCAACACACGGGAGAAAGGCTCCAGGAACACCTGCGAGTTACATTCAAACAGAACAATAAGCTTCATATCTACACATCTACAAGAAGTGTAGGGGACTTACCTGAGGCATGGTACTTATGCTACATTCACTCCACAAGCAGCAGGAGCAGCAAAAATGCACATGCTGCTTAATTTTTAATGCTTGTACAAGTTTAGTCCTGATGCACAGCTGAAGCAACTTTGCTGCTCTAGCTGAGCGGTTGAAAAGTGAGTCTGATGCATGTTGGGTGGAGCTACCCTATCCTTTCTTTGCCTGTAACAATGGCAGCTTTATATGCTGTGATTTATGGGTACAAAGTAGCTTGAACGTTTTTAAGTTAAAGAGTTCACCTGAAAACTTAATCTTTGCAGTCAGTTCATCCAGCTTACCATCCTGCCTTCACACCTAAAGCAGGACTCTGCTGCTTTAGGTGCAAACGTAGCATAAGAATTAAAGGTGGTGACAAGCTAGATGGTGATTCATGGAGATGGTTCACCAACCAGAAAATGATATAAACTTAAAAAACCTGTCCTCATGATTTTGTTCTTATTATTGCAATGTTTGGCAGCTATTATAATATGGTCTCTAAGAACTGATCCAATCAGGTCTCTCTCCAATAATTCCCAGTGGCCAGTAGTTACTGACCTGCTGCAGAAGCGCCTGGCAGGTTCTCATGGGGATTTTTGTCAAACATTGCAGCAGAAAGTTAGCCACTCTGCTGTAACACCTCACATCCTCTTCCGCCTTGGACAGATCTGAGAAAACACGTTAATTTGCTTCCAAAACATGCAGCTGCAGGTAAAATCAAAGCTCTGCTTGGTTATTTTCTTCCACATGAAACCGACCTACCTTCTTTAGCAACGGCTGCTGCCAGGGAGTTCTGCATGTGATTGGCCAGGAGAGCCGTAGGAGCATTGTCGATCCCGTCGGCCACGACCATGGAAACCAGGTGGCCGGCTGTGCCCACAGGGTCCAGGGCCGCCACCGCTTTGCTGAAGTGTTTGTCCCCTGTGTCTGTGGTGATCCTCAGCAGCAAACCTGGTGATACCTCTAACACGGCCAGGCCGGTATTAGCTGTAAGAAGTAAAAAAATAAATAAAATGCATTTAATCTAAGAGAATGGGACTCTGTGTGATAAGCCAACACATAGTAATGCTTAATTATAAAGAGAAAAAGAATCGTTTTCACCATCTCTATCACCTTTCAAACTCATACAGACTGGACAGCATGTATAAATATATAATATATATAAACAATGGACCTCAAATCCTACCTAATCCAAACACAAGAATATGCTTTGATCGGAACCGTTCCGGTTCCAGCTGTCCGACAGGAAGTGAATCCTAAGCAAAAGTCCAAAGTCTTAGCAGCTTCTAACTAGGGTTGTCACGATACTAAACTTTTCAACTCGATACCGATATCAAGTAAAATATTCGATACTCGATACCCTTTTCGATACCACAAGAATAAAACCAAAGACTCTAAAATTCAACAGATATATTTTCATTACTAAAAAAATACAATAAATAAATAAAGAAAACTATAAATACTCTTTTGAGGTTGTATAATGTGCACAATTAAGCAAGCTTGATAAAAAACTTACAAAATTAAAATTAAGTGTTCCTTCCTTGGCTATGTTTTGCAGACATAACAATGACACTGGCCAAACCAGTTAAACAAAAATAATTCTCAGCAGCTGCACCTGTTACAAAAAAAGTCTGAAAGTGAAAAATTCACAGAATTATTCAATCACACAGTGTT